CTGAGGGTGGGCCCTTATTCGGCGGAGGGCGCTTCTTAGAGCGTGGGTGCTTATTCAAAGAAATACTATATTCCTAACAGGGGAGAGATTGGGTCGGATAACAGAATGGCTGAAAAATGAGAAGGGGGTCAAACAGCGGAGAAGAGCAAGTGAAAAACAGAACATGCTTTCTAGAGAGGACGAATCAATGAATATGGAATGTCTCATTTAAGGAAGAGGGTGAGTTACGCATAGAGACGTAAAGAGGGTAATTATTCCTCTTACAAAATGCTGCGTGGGTTTCTGTATCCCGTATGTCTTGTCCTCAGTCTTCAAGCGCATGTACACATTCTTGAACTCTTTCCGAACCTGAAGGTTTTTTAAATAATAAAGCAAGAGTGGGAAAGTGAATCAAATATTACGCCTCCATGAAATCAAATTGAAATCGTGGAAAAAAAAAAGAGAAAGATATGTTACTCACCGTCTTGTCCAATAGGAGATAAAACACTAGTATACACAGGCCCTGTGAACGATACAAGCTCATCAAAAATTTGTCGCTGATCGATCGACTTTCATCGACCGAAGAACTACAACACATCAAATTAAAGGTATTCAGCATTTATTAATTTCGAGACGAGTCCTCACATCTTTTGAGAGTTGAAAATGAAAAGGAAACAGGCATTTTGCTTATTGTTGATTATATGTGTTCAGGTACCGAATTAAATTTTCGTCTCTACGCTTCCTTAGCCTGTTTTTCTCTTTAATAAGCTTTTCAACCCAGTTTCTTTTTGCGTGAAATAAGAGTTAATTAGGACTAAAATTTGGATCACGCTCTGATGGGGTAGAAGCGGTGCAATCCCGGTTTTAGTACCGAAAACAACTGGATGAGAGAAATCCTCCATTGCCTTTCCGCATTAAATTAAGAACTACTCTATAAAGAACAGGGCACTTCACTTCAGATGGGGGATCATTAGAACACTCCAGAACCTTATGGGAGGGATTCGGTAAATTTCATTTTATCATTTTAAGGTATTATAACATTTCTCAGTTACTGAGCAGTTGGAGATTGGTCTTTTGAGGGAAGCGGTTTTGAATACATGGTCTGCATAAATCTGACGTCTTCCGTTATCT